TCACTTTGTAAGTTAAAATATGTGATTTAATGTAAAAAAAAAATTAAAAAAAGGAAGAAAAAAAAACAATCAAACCAAAAAAGGAAACAATCAAACAGAAAAAGCTACCAAACATGAATTCTATATCTGGGGGAAAAAGTCCTTCAAGTGTGCTAAAGAAATGAAATGATTTCCAGATAAACAAAAGCTGAGGGAGCTCAAGATCTGCCTTGCAAGAGATGCTGCATCAGGGAGTCCCGCAAGGTGAAATGTAAGGGCCCTAGGTAGTTCTGCAGAGATATGTGAAGAAATACTTACGAGGTAAGTACACTGGAAACAATAATTAGTAGTCTGAACCTACTGTTGTTATGTGTTTGACTGGTAATCCCACATTTTGTTTTCTACCTAATTTGAGAGACTAATTCATTCAAAAACTATTTTACATTTTTGGACATGCGATTGATGATATTGTAATATTTTGACATCAGTAACTGAGAAGGGAGGGACAGACCATAAGAGGATAGTGTTTGTATATTATTGAAGTTAAGCTTGTATAAATTCAATGCGTTATCATTTTAGGAGATTAAAGGTATTCCTCATGGGAATGACATATAAAATAACTAAATATCATAAACAAAAGGAAATAAGAAAGGAGTTTAAATGTTGTACTATTTTTAAAAAACCCCACCTGAACACAAAGAGGACAGTAATTTGGAAAACGAGAGGCAAGAAAGCTGAAAGGGTGTAGAAAACAAATGGGAAAGTGACAGGTAAAGCCCTTTCTGTCAGTAACTGTTTTAAAGTAAATATAATAGATTAAACTCTCAGATCCAGACAGAGATGGGCTGAGTGGATGAAAAGAACACAGCCCTGTTCTGTCTACAGGAGACCCACTCTAGGCACAAATGGGTTGGACCTGAATGCTTGGGAGAAACTGTAGGCGGAGTAACCATGGAGAGCCCTGATGGTTATGATATCAGGGTGGCCTCAGGCTACTGGAAACAAAAATGAGGTTGAGACGGGCTCCTACTTTAAAGAGCCATGGGTCCCACTGAGTTAACTCATGTGAGCTTGCAGGTCCCATGCCTGGCTGATGCCCCAGGCACACAGGTCCTCTCTGGGTGGGGAGGTCTCCTCTCCAGGGGAGGAGGTAAACCTTCTGTCTAGCTTTGACCTCCTTGCCCAAGCCCAGCCCCAGAGGAGAAAGGCCTTGGCTGACCTCTCTGGTCCCTGTCCTTCCTCTCCCTGAGCACACTGCCACCGTGTCAGCAGTATCTATCTCTGAGAAGCGTCTCCATCTTCCATCTTCTGTCGGGTGGAAACAGCTGTGTCTCATAAGAGCCCACAAACAGAGTCCAGAGCACATGGTGGCCTTGGTATTCTCTGCTAAATGATGTGCAGGGATTTGCACACTCAGCCACAGTCACTCACAAACAACACTCCCCATGGTCAGCTGGATGATCACATGCACATCTACATACATGCATGTGCCTACCCAGGTTTTCCAAAAGGGGGAATGCAAACCTATACACATGCATGTATGTATGACATACACACATTGCAAAGACACACAAAGACCCAGTACACAATTATCTATACAAACATACGAACACACATGTACACACCTGCATGTGTGTTCAAAACACATACAAATGCAAATACAGAGACAATTCACACAGGCCTGCACTCTGCATTCAGGCAGCTCTTCTCCCCCTCCCAGTACTGACTGGCCCCTCACAGCAAGAACACGCCACATTGGTGCCCACGATGCTGTCGGTAGGCCACCCAGGGCTCCAGTCGTGTTCGCATGGGGTGTGGACTCTCCATCTTCTGCAACTTCTCTGCGTCCTCTGGCAGCATCACAGACACCCTTTGTGTCCCACCTACGTCACACCTGGGGACAAAACAAAGCTCTGCTGGATGGGGTCATGGTCCCTGCTGGGTCCCCCTGCAAAGCTAAGCCAATCTGTCTCCTCTGTGACCTCTCCCTTCCTCCGGACTGTCACCCTGAAGCCTCTCCAACTTTGTGCTTCCGAGTCTGTCCCCCAGCAGTGCGCCGTGTTTACCACCCCTCATGAAGAGCCCTGGTCTCCAGTGACAATGACACTGGCCAGCAGCCCTTCTCCACTGCTTTCAAGGATGCAGAACGTGGGACCCAGCTGGGACCCCTGTGTCTGGCAAGGTCCTGGGTAGCCAGCAGAGCAGAAGATGCTGGGTGTTCGCAGTGAGGGTACAGGGTGGGCGGGGGGAGGGGGCTTTACCTGAAGATGGGCCCCAGCTCCTGGAAGGCCTGGTGCATCTCCAGGTGAAGGTTCTCATAGCTCTGCTCCTTCCAGATCTGCAGCACCCTCAACCACTTGTTGGGGGGACACTGGGGGATGGCTTCAAAGGGCAGCACTCCCTTGGGGCTCATAGAGGCTCCGGTGCCCAGTGCCCGTGTCCTGGGCAGGGCCAGCCAGGACCCTGCCACCATCCCCACACCTGCCTTTGCCCTGAATGCCATTGTGATGGTACCTCCAGCCACGCTCAGCCCAAAGCCTTTAAATCTTGCCTGGGGGGCTGTGCTGGCCAACTGATCACGTCATGGAAGCAGTTGTCCCTGAACCTGTCACAGAAACCTGGGACAGAGGTCAGGGCTAGAGACACCCACCCAAGGTACAAGGAGAGATGGTAGGTGTCCAGCCCCCATCTTGCAAGGGCTGCTGACAGGTGGGTGCTGAGAACAACTGTGGAGTCTGGATTCTGTATTAAAGTGGGGTGCAGGATGGGGGTCAGAGACCTCCCTCTTCTCCCCTCTGAGTGAGAGGAACAAGATTAATGGGACCTTCAGCTTATCAAGAGATGAAAGGAAGCCTTGGAGTCTTTTAATAGATTTGGGGGGGGGGGGATTTTTTGCTATAGGGCACATGTGCTCGCAGGAGACACAGAGAAATAGGACGTAAGACATCACCTTCCGGGGGTTTGCCACATCGTGAACCCTTCTCCTCCATTCTCCTCTCAGGATTTTGAGCTTGCATGCACACATGTCAGCATGAGTTTCAAGCTGCCAGGTCCAGAACTCAAACCGTGGCCGGCCATGTGGGAGTCCAGCAACATAACCATTACATCATCTGCTGGTCCCAATAGATTTTTTAAAGCAGTTTTAGTTCACTGTAAAATTGAGCAGGAAGTACAGAAAATTCCCACATCCCTGCCCCATATGTCCATATTCTCCCATTATCAACATCCTTCACCAAACTGCTACATTTGTTACAACTGATAAACTTAGATGGATATATTGTTAGTATCCATAGTCTTCAGTTTATGAAAGGTTTCCTGTTTGTGTTGTACTAGAGCTCCTCAACCAGAGTATCAGCTTGGTAGCAGTCTGTGGTCCATTAGGAACCGGCAGTAACAGGGTGAGTGATGTGGGTGAGTGAGTGAAGTTTCATCTGTATTTACAGCTGCTCCCCATCAGTCACTTCTACTGGAGCTCTGCCTCCTGTCAGATCTGGAGCAGTAGAGGGAAAAAACCCTATCGTGAACTGAGCATGTGGGTTATCTAGGCTGTGGTTTGTTTTTTGTTTGTTTGTTTGTGTTTTTGTTTTTTGAGGGTTTTGGGGGTTTTTTTTTGTCTTTAGGGAGATTTTTGCTATAGGGCACTTGTGCTCACCAGAGAGAGAGAGAGAGACAGAGAGACAGAGATAGACAGAAATCAAGGAATCACCCTCTTCCCCCAGGGGGAATGGACATGCCACTATCCCATCTCCTCCATTCTCTCAGGATCTTGGGCACACACACATAGGCGCCTGGCTTGAGTTTTTTGTAAACCACCAGATCCAGGACTTGAACCATTGTTGACTATGTGGGAGTCAGCAACATAACCGTTATGCCATCTGCTGGTCCCATAGTTGTGCATTTTTTATGAGAATCTAATGCCTGATGATCTTAGGTGGAGCTGAGGTGATGCTAGCGCTGGGGGGTGGCTGCAAATACTACATTATGGTTAGTTGTGTAATTATTTCACTATATATTACAATGTAATAATAGGAATAAAGTGCACAATAAATAGAATGAGCTTCAGTCATCTGGAAATAATTTCTGCCTTTCCATCTCCTGATCTGTGGAAAAGTTGTCTTCCACTAAACCAGTCCCCAGTCTCAAAAAGTCTGGGGACTGTTGTATATTCTATGGGCTTTGACACATGTAGAATGGCATGAATCCATCATTATAATATCTTACAGAACAGTGTCACTTCCCTGAAAATCCTTCATACTCTGCTTATTTATTCTTCCCTCTTCCACTATACCCTGGAAACCACTAATCTTTGTGCTTTCCCCATAGTTTTACCTTTCCAGAATGGCATATTGGGGGGGTGGGGGTTTGTTTTGTTTTGTTTGGAGAGGTTTTTGCTATAGTGCACATGCACTTGCCAGACAGACAGAGAGAGACAGAGAGACAGAAAGTGAGAAATCATTCTCCAGGGGGGATGGCCACGCCGCAATCCCTTCTCCTCCATTCTCCTCTCGGGATCTTGGGCACACACACACACACATGCCCAGCATGAGTTTTAAGCCACTGTGTCCAGGACGCGAATCGCAGTCGACTACGTGGGAGTCCAGCGACATAGTCATTACGCTAACTGCTGGTTCCCAATGTATAATCTTTTGTATATGTTGTTGGATATGATTTGCTAGTTTCTTGTTGAGGATTTTTGCATCTATATTCATCAGATATATTGGTCTATAGCTTTTCTTCCTTGTCAAGTCCTTATCTGTTTTAAGGATAAGGGTAATGGAGGCTTCATAGAATGAATTTGGTAGAATTCCATCCATTTAGATCTTTAGAAATAACTTGAGTAGATGGAGGGTTAACGCTTCTTTAAAAGTTTTGTGGAATTCAGAGATGAAGCCATCAGGACCAGGGCTTTTCTTTTGGGGAGGTTATTCATCACTGGTTCAATCTCATGGCTTGTTATGGGCCTATTCAGACTTACTATGTCCTCCTGACTCATTCTTGGTAGATTATATGAGTCCAGGAACGTGTCCACCTCACCGTATTAACTAAAAGAAAGATAAAAACTACATGATCATTTCAATTGATGCAGGAAAAGCATTTGATAAGCTAAAACATCCCTTCATGATCAAGACTCTCAGCAATACTGGCATAGAAGGATCATTCTTCAACACAATAAAAGTTATCTATGAGAAACCCATAGCTAACATCATCCAGAATGGGAAAAAAACTGGTACAAGACAAAGATGCCCACTTTTTCAACTCCCTGTCAATATAGTTCTAGAAGACCTCACCAATGCAATCAGAAAAGAGAATAAAATAAAAGGCATAAAAATAGAAAAAGAAGAGGTGATATTATCTCAATTTGCAGATGACATGATTATATGTATAGAAGACCCAATAGTATCCATGAAAATTTTCTGGAAGTAATAAATGAATACAGTAAAGTTGCATGATACAAAATCAACATACAGAAATCTATAGTATTTCTATATATGGACAGCAGGCAGGCTGAAATAGAACTGAAGAAAGTAATTCCATTTACCACAGCCAGAAAAAGTATAAGCTATCCAGGATTAAATCTAACCACAGATGTTAAAAACCTCCACAAAGAAAATTATGAGAAGCTAAAAAAATGAAAGAAATTGAAAATGACACAAAAAGTGGAAGAACATTCCATGTTCCTGAATAGGAAGAATTAATATAATCAAAATGGCAATTCTACCCAAATTAATCTATATATTTAACATAATTCCCATCAAAGTACCAGAAATATTCATCACAGATCTAAAAAGACAATCATAGAATTTTCCTGGAATTATAAAAGACCTCATATTGCCAAAGCACTTCCGTGCAAAAAGAGTGGAGTGGGTGGCATCTCTCTAACTGACCCAAAAATACACAATAAATGTGTGATAATCAAAACAGCATGGTATTGGTACAAAAATAGACATGTGGACCAATGGAACAGAATAGAGACCCCAGAAATAAACTCCCAAACATATAGCCAACTGATTTTTTACAAAGGGGCTAGTCAATCCAATGGGAAAAGGAAAACTTCTTTAGCAAATGGTGGGAAAACTGGATGTTCACCTGCACAAAGATTAATCTAAACCCCTACTTCTCACCATTGACAAAAATCATCTCAAAGTGAATTAAAGATCTAAACCTAAGACCTCAAACTATAAAAGTACTGGTGGAAAACACTGGGCAAACTCTGGGAGACATTGGGATAGGCAAAGACTTCTTAAGTAAGACCCCTAAAGCCCATTCAATAATCCCAAAAAAGGACAAGTTGGATTACATCAGATTAAGACATTTCTGCATGGAAAAAGACACAGTAATTTACATGAATTGACAGCCCTCAGAATGGGAAAATATTTTTGTAAACTATGCTTCAGATAAGAGACTGATAACCAGAATACCCAGGGAACTCAACTGACTTACCCAAAAAAAGATGATAAACCCAATTAAAATATGGGAGAATGATCTGAAAAAAAACTCTCTAAGGAGACATACGAATAACCAAAAGGCATATGAAAAAATGCTCAGCATCCCTCATCATAAGAGAGATGTAGATGAAAACCACAATGAGATACCACCTAACCCCAGTCAGAATGACTAAGATTAAAAAAAAAAAGTTGATGGGACCAGCAGCTGGCATAATGGCTATGTCACTGGACTCCCATGCAGTCAACCGCAGTTTGAGTCCCAGACCCAGTGGCTTAAACTCAAGCCAGGCGCTGGTGCGTGCATGCCCAAGATCCTGAGAGGAGAATGTAGGAGAAGGGATTACAACATGGCTATCCCCCCTGGGTGATAATTTCTCACTTTCTGTCTCTCTGTCTCTCTCTGTCTTTCTGGTGGGCTCACACACCCTAGAGCAAAAACCTCCCACCCACCCCCCCCAAAAAAAGATAAGTGCTGGCTGGGATGTGGTGAAAGGGAAACTCTCCTACAACTGCCTAGTGGGAATGTAAATTGTTCTGTCCACTGCGGAGAACAATATGGAGATTCCTCAAAGATCTCCAAATAGAAATACCATATGATCCAACAATCCCACTCCTTGGTATCTATCCAAAGGACACATCTATGTTTATTGCAGCATTATTCACAATGGCTAAGATATGGAATCAACACAAATGTCCACGAACAGAAGAATGGATTGAAAAAGTGTGGCACATATATTTTATGGAATACTACTCATCCATTAAAAAAAAAAAAAAAAAACATGCCGCTTTTGACAGAAGGTGGATGAATATGGGAAATGTACTGCTGATACAACCAAGCCAGGCTATGAAGGAGAGACATTGTATGTCTCTACTTAATATATACTGACTGTCCACATTCTATGACCGAAACTGAAATGATTAGAGGATATAGAAACATAGAAAATGGTTATAGATACCAGATACAGTGTGGGAAGAGGGTGGGAGAAGGAGAGTGTGAAGAAAGACATTAAGGAGAAAAATAGAGAGGCAAAACATTTATGGGACACAGAAATGGGTTATTATCTGTTGATGATATCCCCAA